CAATTGAATTCGATGTAAGTTTTCTTGATGAATAAAATATTGATTAAAAGAAATAACAAATCATCAAATAGAATTTTCTAAAAGACGGAAGAAATATTTCAAAATAATGAACGAAGATTCCTTTTTGGTTTGATTGATCTTTCGATGCGAGATTTAGAGGTACTCTATTAACAATTCAACAAATAGAGAATACAAGCAACTAGAGATCTATGCATCTCAGTAATCGAAAGAAAAGATATGGAGATGTTTTTCTTTTCCATTCATAATAGATGGACCGAAATCATTTTGAAAGCAATGATTTCCGCAAAAACATTGAAGAAAATGAATGGTTGTGGTCTGTCATTTCGATGTTTGCCACTTAGATACTGGTACTTGAGATGTATAGCTCAAGAAACAATTTGAAAGAGTGTCTTCTAACATTCTGGTGCTGAACAAATAAAATTGTGTATCTGTTCGATCGAATTATATGAAATTTTATTGATTATTAAGCAAATGTTTTTACTTGTTATTAAAATCTCATCGAAATGATAGATTGTTTTCATACGTTTATTACAAGGCTTTGCACAAAATCATTGGCATCAAAGTAGTTTTGTTCTGTCTATTATACATGAAAAAGACATTGCCATGTCTACTTTTTCAACAGCTGGAAACCGCAGATCGCTAGCTTCTTACGTCCTCAACTTATTCAATTTTTAATCGAGTATTTTTAAGTGTCACCTCGACATTAGTTACTATGGGTGTGGGTGTAGGTGTAGATAAAGACAAGAGTCTCGCTCACACTCGCATTTAATTACCGTTCAAAGAACATATATTGGCATATTGCGGTAAAACTGTAGTGACAGAATAGCCGATCGTTTAGGTATCAAAGTACCTTCGGTAGAGTCCACATTATAGCGAACGGTTCACCGACGATTGTTGTCGGATTCAAGTTGTATGAGATTACATAAGACTTCAGAACAGTCTTATTAATTATAAGAAAATTCTATCAATAAAATTTATAATGAATATTTTTATTTTTAGTTTACTCATTTAAACGGAACGAAAATTTCTATTTATCGAAAAAATCTGGAACATATTGATTCTCCATTGGAAATTAAACTAGTTGATCCATCCGGTCGAATGACATCAATATTTAATTATAATGATTGTATTGAACAACTTAATGTACCACTTGATACAAAACAAATGTTACACAAAGCGATTAAAGTATGTCGACGTACGATGGGGATCTTCTCAGATGTTTGCTTTCGATTTCAACGATTATATTTTGAAAGCTAGTCTAGTTGAGTTCTCACTATGTGCAAAGTTTCATACCAAAATTCGATAGTTTAGTCAAAATCCAAATCCTTTTAGAGTTTTCAGTAGAACACTATAGGGAAAAAATCATTGAAATTGAAAAGAGACATCTGAGGAGGTTTCCTTGTTAGAATATTAGATATATTGTTTAATTGTATATCTTTTTCAGTTTCGAGAATGTTGTTTGATAAAAAATCAATTACTTGAAGAACATCAAGCTCAATTTCCTGAAGGAAAAACATTTCCAGCTATTTTTGGTGAAAAACCTCGGTCATCTTCATATAACGTATTGAAATAATTATTTTATCTTAAATGATCAAAGAATATTATTTTTCTATTGAGATATTTTTTTCTGTTTAACATGTTTTCTTTGTAGAAAAAAAGGAGAGAAACTTTTATCTTGTTTCTCATTGCCTACTTAAATGATTGCTCTATTTTCTTTGTGTTAGAATTGTATATTTTGTTTTCGAATTAATAAATGAAAAAAAAAAAAGACTAAGATGGAGATAAAAAATTAAGAAAAATTGATCTTTGTTATGTTCTTATTTTTTTTTTCTCGGTAATAAATAAACAATAATATTTTGTTGAACAAGTCGTTTGTTTTAGGTTTTTCATTAGTTGGTGTGATGCGACTATCTGACGAATGTATCAGTGATACGACAAAAATCTCTTCTAATCTACATGTAAAAAACTGTTTGTAGATAATGCTGGCTCAACTTTCAACCACTTATATGTCATTGAAGAGAATAAAAAGTCCTCAATTAGAATCAGACTTTGATACATTTCCTACATGTACGCACAGAATTTTTCTAAATGAAATCTGATTAGTTGTGGGCACATAGTTGAATAAATAGAAAGCGATTTTCATCTGTTTCAATTATTCGTTATGTGAGTGTATCTGTTAAATTTAGTACGTTGTAATGATTTTCATTTGAATTCGTTCCTTTTGAGATCTCAATTGTCAACAAAAATAATTCGCATCAACTATAAGACGGTATCACTGGTATTGTAATGAAACATACGAGAGCTACATATAACTCTTTTATACTACGCATGCTTCATCCGCACTTTGAAAAAAATTAACTGTACATCATGCGAGAGTTCGATAAATCCAAAAATGTGCGAATCAAATGTAAGCATTATGAAGCAATTCATCTATTGTAGCATCCTAACGAAACTATTATATGATTACTGCTTGAAACAACAGTCATTCTGGAAGAAAGTTGTTAATAACTATTTATGAAAAATCGTAAAATCTTTTTATGTTTTGTTGATTGATTTCACTGAGATCCAATTGAGATAAATTAAAGATGAATTCAGATGAAAAATATTTAAAACGCCCTCAATCAAGGTAAACTACTTGATGATCTAAATTATCTGCAGTTACACACACAAATTATAACTATAATAGAAACCTTACAGAATATAGTATCAAGTACGACAAATATCATGTCACTAATCAGTATGAGTGGTAGAAGAAACATCTTCAGAGTGGTGTAGTCAATATTACGTATGATTTTTAATTCATTTAGTATAGATTGTTGTTCTTTTCCTTCATAATGAAGACAGACCCATGTAGAGTTTATGTATTGATCAATGATTTGAGAACTTTACTATTGGTTACCAGTTTCTCATGAAATCAATGAATCATCAGAAGATTCATATCTGATCACTAATGAAGCTTTCATTGTAGCATTCACCATGTCTTGTTATTGTTAAAAGATTAAATTTAAAATTTTTTCTACAACATTCCTTTGTGCACGATGTAGATTGATGTGATTTACAACATAGAATTTCTGTATTTAGAAGACTATTGTTACATAGTATGGTTGCCCATCAGAATTGTTCCAACACATTTTCTTCTCTCGATTGTTTTTTGTACAAGATTCAATTACTTCATCGTTCTTATGTCGCTTTCTCTTGTATTGCTCATTCGATTAAGCATTGTTCTCTCTATATATACATATTCTATTTCTGTGTGGATGAATATAGTGTGCATGACATCATTATATTTCAAAGAAGAAATACATAGACTCTGAAAAAATCAATCGATCAATCATTAAGCTGTTCATTCGTGAAACCCTACACTGAGCGGGTTTTTTTTCTAAAAACCTTTTGATCAAAGAATCAAATACTGTTTTGATTAGCTCACTCTCACTCACTATCAGTCAAATTATCACAAGGTTAGATAAGTTAACATATATCGAAGAATGATATTTATGGGCTTTTTTTTCAATTGTTCATTTTCTTGTGAATATTGTGACTAATAGTGAGTGAGGGTGAGCCCATCGAATTGGTATTTGATTATTTTAGCAAAGATTTTGAAAAAAAAACTCTAAGTATGAGATTGCAAGAATGGAAAATTTGAAGACCTATCGATTAATAATATCTTGAAGTTCAATGGCATTTAAAATGGGTTGGAAAATGTTTCACTAATACCCAGAAAAGCTAGATTAATGGATAAATGTTGATAATGCAAGATAATTGACAAATGAAAATGAGTTTAACTATTATAAAATTTATTTTATTAACATATCATTATCTACTTATTCAATAAAATTCAATGAATCTTAGTCTATTACATTCAATGAAATTTAAAATATAAAACATAAATCATCAATCATTCCAAGATGATCTTATGTTACGTAGAATCACTTTTGACAAAAACTTATCTTGATCTATGGTTTTCGAATTATTTCCTTCTCTTTTCTAATCTTCAATTTCATTCTATATAATTTTTTGGAACTCAATGAAAGACTTTCAATTATTTACCATTAAGCAATATTTAGTCATTTTTCCTTACATCCTATTAGTAAGCTTCATGAATTGATGCCATGTAAAGACTTGTTTTCAAAAAAAATTCTGTATGATTTCTAGTTGAAATGTCTCATGAATGAACAGAAACACTCATTGATTAGTAGTATTCAACACAATCATAAAAGTCTTCTCTTCATTGATTATGGTAAGTACAACGATGCATTCATCAAGATTAGTAAAAATATTGATACTGTTGACGATGGTTCCATAATTCAAAATTTATACGTTGATCATTATGATAGTAATTTATTTACAGTGAAAATCATGATCAATTGATTAAGATTTAAATTTCATATTTATTAATACCTGCTACCAAGATAAAACTTTTTTTGTCAAACATCACATACTTGTTTATTGCATTATCGAGTCGGTAACATGATCATTCACAACCACTTTTCTATCTTCATACCCGCAAGATTTTGCAAGCAGAAAGATGTACTCTGTATTGTTCTCATCTGATAGACTCTTGACTTCGTTTCAGAACTTCGTGTACTCACTCAGGTATTTGCACATAATGTGAAACATCATGTAATCAAAATTACAGAAAAAGACAAAATAAATTAATAATCCAATAGAAATTTCATTTAAGTCTCGCTGTTAAAGCTGCATACAAAATCATAATACTGATAGTATTAATTTTACGTGAAAAAATTTTCAACACATGAAAGTAGAAAGCAATTAAAAAACTTAATGATAAATAAGAAAAGAAGAAAAAGAAATATTTCATAATCTTGTTTTTATTTTATTCAATAAACTAACAAAGATTATTAGCTTATTAATATGTAAAAGAATTGATTTGTATATGATTAAAATCAAATTTTGTTTAGTTTTATTTAAATAATGATAAAATTATTCAAAGACGGACAACATGTTTTCTTTTATTTCAATCACTTCTTTTTTAAACGAATGAGTCCTGGACGACGATTTACTGCTAATCGAGTACTAATAATATGATCAAAGGGCGAGTAATTCTTCATATTACTTCCATCATCTGCAACTTCGATTGGTGCAAGTAATGCTTGAAGTCGTTGAATGATATATGGATCTTTACGTTCAACACTTTCATCAAGATTATTCATTTGTATTTTATCATTATTCAATCGATAAGCCTTCATATTACTGATGTTGATTGACCATAAAATAGTGAAGAATAAGACGATAATACTTCTTGAAGACATTATTTTGTTATAATGTTTCAATAAGTGAAATACACGATGTATTTTCTAGTAAAAAATGAAAAGAAATTCAAACGACTGACACAATTTATATCGTAGCTTTCTAGAAATTCATTTCCTGTAAAACACACATGAATCAAGATGCTTATCTCTACTATAAAATGTTGTTTGATGAATACAACGGAAGAGAAAAAAATCGTTTATGAAATTGAAAATTTTCTTCTTATAAATAGCATGTTAATGTAATCTTTGGTAAAACTAAAAGATAGAACTGTCACATATTGTTGATCTTTGATTTAGTAACACCAAATACTTCAAACATCTAATGGTAGACAAATGTCCTACCTTTGTCTTACAATGCGTGTCTGATATGCACTTATTTTTATTTTTTGCTATTCCTCTACCTTTTATTTCCCCTAATGCTTTGTGCTCAGTTTCTTATTTGGATTCTTTTTTTTTGTTTTGAACCTTTTATTCTCTTTTTTGTACTCTATGGTGATTAGACTAATACATTGATTTGCTCTACATATTTACTTTATTGAAAATATAGCTCAATAAAGATATTGCCTCAATTGATAGTCAATTGGCATTCCAGAATGAGCGAAATTAAGTGCATTTAGGAAGTTCGAAGAATTCCGGAAATTTCTTCTTCCTTTTTAGTAGCTTTTATCATTAAGATAATCGACTATTTCATTAGATATGGTATGCGAAGACATTTTGGTGTAATCAATGAAAAGTAATCGATGTAAAATAGAAGAATAGTCTATGCAGAATGACCGTATGGCGTTACCAATGAAAGTCTGTTCAGGTATACTCACATTAATGCACAAATTAATCTTCGTTTCTAAAGATTAGCTGTAGAAAAAGCATTATAAAGAACATACGATGAACTACGCCGATCAATTAGATCAAAGTGATTACAATTCTCCTTCTTTTTGCTATTGAAAACAAAGCACATTAATAATTTGTAATTTTCATATTCACTTATTAATAATCTTCTTATATATAATAAGGAGTGATCGGAAAGTTATTACATAAGATGTTTGTTCACTATTGATCTGCTAAAAAGTATTTCTGAAGAGTTCGGACGAGAATTCTGTGTTCTTGTCACCTATCGGCTTAGAAACTTTGTTCAAGAGTAGTGAAATAATCTTTGAAAAGCTCAAAAAATTACTTTGGACAAAACTTGTGGACTGACGTTTCCAGTGCACATGTTCATTCATTTTAGTCAGGTTAAAAGCATTTCAGACGATCGAAAAACTACAGATCATGACCAGAATTTTGTACTTTTTTTGTTGAATAAATATTATGCCTGTTTTTGTTTATTGAGAAACTTTTTGAAAGACGTGAAAAATTATTTTTAATGGTGCGACAACGAATTTTTGTTTAACCAGTAAGTCCCTTTTCGAACATGTTAAAAATTATTGAACTCAATCGTTTTGCAGAGCGGACACTTTTATACAAAATGTGATATTGAACTAGGCTGTAACTTTTACTCAAGTGAAGCTACCAGCATTTTTTCAAAAGGACCATTCGACATAAAACAGTTGTCGATTTTTCAAAAATGAACATTTAGGAAAAACGAAAATTGGGTTGCTATATCAAAAAACAAAAAAAAAGTCTCAAAATAGTGCATTTTGTAGAGTAGCTTTTGAACTACAAGTTGATATATAAATAAAAATCTTAACTTTCAGTTTCCAACTAATGATTTGGACGTTTTAAAGATTATTTCACTAGTCTTGAACAAAACTTGTAATTCCATGTTTGAAAAGAACATACAATTTTGGTCCAAACTCACTGAAAATACTTCCGAGTAGGGCAAAGATGTACAAACATCTTGTCAAAAAACATTCTAATCATCCGTTATTACGTTAGGAGTAATAATCAATACATAATATTCAAAGCATGTCTGATTTTTCTATATGTCATTCTATATGTCAAATTGAAAGTAATTTCCATTATTATTGATTAAAATATAAAAATACATAAATTTGATATTGCTTGAAATATTACAGACAATAAGAAACCTCAACGAGAGTAATAATAACATAAATTGTTTATGTAGTGAATAGATAATTTTTATGTGCATACATAAAAATAAATCTGACAATTCTTATTTTATTCAAAATACTAAAATCACTGTTTATTTAAATTTGAATCATCAATGTCTAAAACTTGTTCTTCATTTGATTCCCATGGTTGTACAGTTCCTCTAGGCCATCGAAGTACTAATAAATCGGTTGAAGAAGCAAATTCTTCTGCTGCATTATCATCTGGTATTGGTGTTAATATAAAATAATCAAATGAATTTGAATCAGTAAACAATGTAGTTGTTAATCGTGCCGCTGCTTGACATTTTTCCGGTGTTGTATTTGGATCATTACGTGTAAATTCTTCTAATGATGGATAAAGTTTTGAAGAATCTGAATGCATCGCTTCTTCGATACCATTTGAAATTTTTTCTTCTTCTTCACGATCAAGTACCACTGCCATTAAACCACGGATAATCTCACTTTCAGGTGATAAATTTTTCATTAATTGTGGAATCGCAGACATTTTTTTAATTTTCGATTCTTTAGTTTTTTCATAAACTTCAAGAATTTTCGATAAAGCAATGCCAGCTACACCACCAATAATTTTTCCGCCAACACTACCAACAAATCCACCAACGGTTGCACCAAGTATTGGCACTGGAATAAATATTGTGCCAACAACAGTGCCTGCTGTGCCACCAACAACCTATTAAATTAATATAAAGAAGTTTGTGTTTGTTTGCTTTTTTAATATAAACAAACTTACAGTTGTTGATGCTGATGTAATTCGTCGAACAACATATTTCTTAAGTGCAACATCACTTAAACTACCTTTCTTTCTTTCATTTTTTTTCTTTTTTATATCAATAAATGCTGATATGCTTTCTACAGCTGTTAATATAACTCCTGATCCAACAGCACTTAAAAATTGTCCAAATGTTCGTACACCAACCATAGCAACATCTTTAACAAGTAATGCTGTTGGATCAACAATTAATAAAGTTGCAGATTTTTCTTTCACTAATCCACGAAATTTATATATTTGTTCGGAATAATGTTCACCTGTTCGACACCATCGAGCCCAATGTTCACAGTTATTTCCTAATAACGAATAACCACGTCTACCAAGTTGTAAAAAAGCACGCTCTAACGTTTCTTCATTTGAAAAACATGGAATATTATCATAATGATGTAAATAAACGTCTTCACTTGTACTTTTTAAATTAACTGGCCATTCACTTTCAATTATTGCAGCTATATAAACTGAACCTCTCATTAATGCAGTTTGTGCATGTTCTAATGTATTAAAATAATGTATAACACGAAGATAATTTGTACGTGCTTCACAGACAATACCATGATGAGCATAATAGAAATCTGTTTTATAAAAACTAACATGATCACCGGGTTGAAATTTACTTAAATCTGTAATTTTCTCATTGCGAGTTTTTTGAAAAGATCGCTCTTTATGAGTGAAAGCTTTAACCACTTCTAAATATACATTAAAAAAAAGAAGAAATTGATCAATGATAATACATACAACTAACCTGTGACCTGCTCTTTGATTTGAGGTACCAAACGAGATTTATTGGTCATAGTTTTTTTTTTTCTAAAAAAAATCATTTTATTATGATTTTATACTTGACTTTTTTTCCTTTCATGCTGAAAGAGAAAAAATGGTATACACTGAAGCATATACTTTGCAAGTTTGACATAGCCTTTATTGTATACAAAGAAAAAGACTCATGTGATTGGCTGTACTAAGGACGTCCATATTTACATCGTTCTTTTCGTGCATATTTTCTACATGCTAACGTCATCAACACATGGCGTGAGGTTTCTTTATAGAATATTATAGGCTGTTACTTCAAACATGATGATTAATCACACTGTAATTTTATGTTAGAAATCATTTGAAGTTCTATATCATAAAACTGTGCCTCGTATAAGAACTTATGATTCAATCAATGATTCAGAGATCATATTTATATAGGTAATAAGCAAAAAAAATAGTGACAATAGAAATCTTCTTATTTTTTATTAGTAATCATGTACTGAATGTAATAATGCATACTTTACTGGTTTGCTAAAGTTTGACAAATTCTTTATTAATTTATATAATTGCTTTCAGTCATTACTGTTTATTGTTATTGTATGACATAACAACGATAAAATAATTGATTTTGACAATATTAATCAATCTGCTTGAAATTACGAATAAAGAGTAAAACTCAATTCATAGTAATGAATTTTTTTATCAATGCTAGAAAAAAAAGAGAAAGCAAATAATTAGATTTGTTCAAAATAAATGAATTTTAGAAAATTATTACTCAAAATTTTGACTCCTATAAGTAGATACGAAAATATTGTTCTGGTAATACTGTTTTCAAATTTCTTTTACAATAAGATCTGTAATGATTTAATTGATTAAGAGTAGTCGAAAAGTTTCGAATCCTCTCAGTAAATCGATAGCAAACCTGTATATGATTAATTGATTAAAATATGTATGTCATTTTATAGAGAAAGATTCGCGTTATCATCTGAAAAAAAATACTTTGAATTGCATAAATATCGTGCAATAGGTATGGTCATATTACAAATCTTGAATGAGTATTTTCATCTTATATTTTTTGAGAAACATTTAAAAAGGTTTTTTTTGAATAGTACTTGTATGTCATTCGTCCACAAAGATTTTTATCAGACATCTCGCTTTAATGGATTATGATTCATCATAGTTGCTAATTATAATTGCAGTTTTATAATACTTCATAATGACAGTCTTATTTTGATGAAGTTTACTGTTTCCAATTTATTGTCTAATACGCCATTTGCTTGGATTTATCTTTCCAACAGTTTTTACAGTATTTCAAAGTCAAATGGATGGTATATGAACAATTTAAAACTTGTAAGGTATCATTCACTAAAATTTAAGTAAATATAAAGATGTCAAAGAAAAAATTATTGATATATCGAAAAGTTTTAATGTAGAACAAAATGTGAGAAAATAACTAATAGTATCCCAAAAAATTTGGAAAAATGTTAACGTATCACAAAATTTGTTTATTGATTTTTATACAAAATATTAATTTGATAAACTTATAAATCAATTAGATATTTTATTGAAAAAAGTTTTTGAATGTTTCAATAAAAATTGAAGACGAAAATATTCACACATGGTTAGTAATATGATTATAATATTGTACTACATTTATAAATTTCGAAGTATCTTGATTTAGAGGTTTGTTATAAATATCATCGATTTACTGCAAGGTGTCAACAATTTTCGACCATCTTTTAATATTAGAATTATAAATTTTTAACAAATTTCGATCTTGAATCTCTTTATGAAATGTGACTTTAGGTTCCTATTAGAGGTCCTTTGACGTGCGAGTAGTATATCTTTCAACAATATACACAATTATCTTCTTGCTTGCATTATTTCATCTCATGGATTTAGTCGATAAATAGTTAGTCTAGTCTAATTAAGACAAAAAACGTTTGAAGAAATCAAATCTAGTTCGATAAATTTTAGTAAGAAATTATTTAAAAAATCTAGTTTTTTTTATTACTCATTTATAAGAAAAACAATGACTTATGCAACAATAATTTTAAGTTAATCACTTTTATCATCTGTTCCAGACCACATTAAATACATATATATCTTTACATATTTAATTGTAAATGAAATCTTTCGTTTTCATATGCATTACACACGTTCATGCATGGACTATAAATGACGGTATGTCTTTTCTTTCCTTGTTTCTTTGTTTAGAACTCATAGAAAAAAAAAAAGAATAGTATATCTCTAAGTCCCTTATTTATGTAGCACATCTGAACTGAGAATAGGAACATTCTTTTAAATTGTTAACAAGAAAAAAACTCATTTTTAACAAAACAGAGAAGATTAAAAATGGTAAGAATTACAATAAATTGAAAGGTTCTATGTGATTTAATTCTTTTAATGGAAGAAGCATTTGAAGTATTTTGGTCTTCGTTCTTGCTGATTATTTTAATTAAACATTGTTTATATAGAAAATCTCCATTGGCATTTTTAGTTGGTAATACAAGTCTTGCTGGTTTATTTTTTCATTCAGTTATATTTTTTCAAGGATTATTTATGGTTATTGAACATTCAGATGTTTATTGTATTCGTCAAGGTCATTTAATACATTCATTTGCTGGTTCTGTCTATCATTCAATTTGTTTACAAGCTTTACATAGATTATTTGTTACCGTATTATCTAATCAATCTCAATTACAAAGTCCAAAATTTCTTATAACAATGACAATTATTCAGTGGATATCTTCACTTACATTTTGTTTACCAAAATTGAATCCTTGTCCAATAAGTGATTTGTGTTTAGGACCATTTCATGGTCGTTATGTTTTCATTCATTTATCATTTATTTTCTTCCGATAATGTTACTTATAATTGTTTATTTATTAATTCTACGATATATTAGACAAAATATATCTCCATATATTGTACAAAATCTTAGTACAAAACATCGATTACGTCGAGAAATGTTTGTTTTACGTCGAATTATTTTTTCAGTAGTTATAATGTTTCTTACAGGACTTCCTTTAGCTTAATTTTTTGTTCAAGGTCAATTTTCTTTAAAAACAGCAGAATATACTGTTCGAATTAGAATGATTTGTCTTAGTGATGGTACATCTCTTGCAATGTTAATCAATATTGTATTTACTAATTCAATTCGACAGCATTTATCATTTGATAAATGTTGTTTTATATCGATTAAATTACAAAAAAACGAAGATTAATTATGTATCAATTAGAATCTGCATCAGCAAAAACCTTCAACAAATGGAAATAAAAATTACATAACAACATTTGATTGAATTTAGATATAACTCACAAATGAAAAAACTGATGAGTTTGATGACAGGATTAGATTTTCTTTTTTTGTATTGAATACAAATTTTGTTTTATTTACCTATGTCACATAAAATGTGTTGTATTGGAGATTTTTCGAAGATATTTTTAAAATATATAATAAATGTCATTAGAGAAGAGTCTAATCTGTCATTTTTCTATGAATTTTAACTAACGATGAGTTCTTTATATAACATGAAACATTTCTTTATAAAGAAGAAACTTTTGTAGATAATTTGTCGAGTTGTATAAAATTGTTCTTGTCAGATATCATAAAACGAAAAACAAAATGACGTCAGATAAGTACAGAAGCATTGTTTTTTTTTCTAAAGTTTATTTCACTCAACGACAGATTGTTGAAGAATTCGACAATGAGTGATGGTCGAGCGATTCTACATTTTCGATTTGAGGATCTTCCAAACGAGTTGTTTTATGAACTTCAATCTTATTTAACTTTTATTGATTTATGTAAAGTTTCTTATAATCTTAATTCACGTTTTCAATCTATACTTATGTCTGTCTATTAACAATCTTCATTTTGAAATTCGTTCAACTGTTGATAATCAACGTTTAACAACAGTTTCTTTCGCTTTTCCTATCGGTACTATTAGTGTTCTTACCAATAGTGATGCTGTTGCTATAGCACCAATATATTCTAATGTTCGTTCGTTGATTTTTCATCGTGCAATTCGATTGACACCAACAACACTACCAATAGTCGAACGAAAAAAACTTGATTTGTCAAATATGCGACCAAGGTTTTATCTAGGCTTCGTTTTTCGGGTGGGCGGTTGAAATTTTTGGAGAGGCTGCTGGCTAAAAACTTTTTGCCATATAACGAGGCACACACAGACTCTTATTTCTTTCTTTTTATAACACCATTACACTTTTTCTTCTGTTACCAATACAGAGTGAAAACATTTTAAGAAGAAAACAATAAATCTAAATTAAGGCCTCCCCCCTAAAAAAAAGTCACTTTTCGTCAAAATGTTCGAAATCAAAATACATGCAGAGAAAGATGGTCCGTGATTTGATCTTTCATAGCCGACAACATTTTTTACCCTGTACCTCGATTTTTCCAAAAATTTTTGAAGATTTCCGTCATCCTCTATTAGAAAAACAAGCTGTTTTCGAAAAAAAATCGAAAATCTTTTTCCTTTTTTCTTCAGTGCACGATTTGTCAGACGCGCAAACTAAATTTCTCTGTCCAGGTTCATGTTATTTATTTAAATTTTTTTGTTGGAAAGATTACGTCAGAATGCAGGGCACCAAAGAACTCTTTTTTTAAGCTAAGCTTTGCTTTTATAATATATGCAGACACTTGTATAATTAGAGTGCCGTTTTTTAGGACTTTTTGAGTAATTGAACTTGTGATACCATTTCTTCCATTGAAAAGTCAGAGTTTACCAAAAAGGACTCTTTGGTGCTCTGCATCATGGCATGCTCTTTCAAACAAAAAAAATAAATAAATATGATGAATGAGCCTGAACAGAGAAATTTGGGTTGTCGAGTGAGTTATTTCCCATGTAGTGAAAACCGGGAGAAAGCCGGCGGTTTACCACGATTTTACCGATCTGGTTACCGGCTCCTAGCTGGTAAATTGCGGTTTACCGCTAAAAATGGTCCGTTTTTTGCGGCATGGATTGTGATCGTTATTTGGTGAATATCTCGATCAAACGTCTTAGTATAAGACTGAACATCTTATCATAGCTTCTCCACTACACTCCCAACATACCCTGAAAATTTCATGCGATTTGAATGTACCTGAGCTGAGATCAATTTTTGAGGGAAGGAGGCCTTACACCGAAATTTTTTGGTAATTTTTTACTTTTCCAACAATCAATAATTATATCTTTTAGATCATTATCTAAATCAGATGATCCTTCTATTGATATGCTCATCAATTGTTCTAAATGTTCTGTTGTTAAATGATTTCGTAGACCAGTTAATATTCTATTCACTACTAAAATCATGTTCTACTGTTGCTGTATTAATTGGTACACATAAAAATATTTCACCAGCTAATGATAATTGTGAATATGTCTCTGGTCATACCATTTTTAACCAAATTTATACATTTTTGTCGTTGTGTTAAAATTGTAGACGTTTCTTGCATGAGTTTCGCAATTCGAGTTCAAATATAAGTGGAGAGCTAAGTGTTTACTATCACTTCGAAAATAACTGAAAAAACGACTTTCCTGTGAAAACAGCAAAAAAGCAAAAGATAAATTTTTATATAAATTACAATTTACAAATTCGAAGGCACCCCCATCAAGGGTACCCTCCTCATCCTGAAGATGCCTCTAGAGCTCTATGTAACGAATTTGCCGCAAATTCAAATTCCCCATCATATCGACACCTTGGGTGAGAGGAGGGGGGGGGCTGATCGAGAACACCTAGGACAGGTGAGAGAGGACATCTTGGTGGGAGCGAGGAGGGCGAGAAGATGTTGCAGGAGGGGGTGTAAGAGAGAAAAATGAGGGTGTGAGAAAAAAAATGTTGTGGGTGTGAGAGAGGAAATGTGAGGGGGGATGTAAGAGATACAATCTGATGGGCAGACAAAATGTCGGCAGGAGAAAAAAAACCGAAGAAAAAGGAAATGTTGGTGGGGCGCGAGGGAGAGGAAAAATCTGTGGCGGCGGGGGGAGGGGGCACAGAAACTAGGGAAGTGGGAGAGAGAATATGGGAGGTGTAGGCGAAGGCAAATCTCACTGAAAGCAGAACCGACTGAGGGAAAAATCCTTTGCCCGCATAACTAACCTTCTATGTGTCTCACGGCGTGGGGGCGTTGCGCGATCCCCGAAGAGCCGCGACCCATACACGTCCCTGTGTACACAGCGAAGTGTATCATTGGTGGATTCTATGGAACAACTGAAATAGTTGAAGTGGTAGTGGAATAGTTGAATTCAACTTTCAGGTTTGATAATACTGTCGAATTTATAAATCATAATTTATATACAAATCCGTCTTTTGCTTTTTTGCTATTTTAACATGAGTGCGATTTTTTTTTAATTTCTTATTTATATTCGAACTCGAATTGGGCATCTACTCTCCTGAGCAAAGTCTGGGTTGGAAATACTTTTTTTTAGGTACCTGGATGCTATGGGGCAAAAATTGAAAAAATTGTGTTTTAGAAGAGTGGGTTGAGTTATGAAAAATCTGATTACATTAATGGACAAAGCTCGTCAAATTCCACTTGGAACAAGAATAGGAGAGTTGAAACAAGTTCTTGAGCGAATCCGGGTTGGAAGTACTCGAATCTGATGATAACTTCGCCTACGTCCTAGCCTTGAAAAAACTCTCCAAATTGAATGCATAATATGAATGAGAGAAGAAAGCGAGTTTTAATCAAGAGTTATACTTTTCTCACGGGCAAAAGATGTGAGATACCCTGGGTGGTAAAACTTGATATGCTCTATCACCAGTAGAAATATCAGAGCGATTGTTTGTTGCCGCATAAAATGTGACTGACTGACATTTTGGTAAAAAAACACAGAAAAAAAGACAAAATAGACTTTTTGAGGGTATTTCCGAAGTTCTTATGATATTGATGAAAACTCGTGAATTTTTGTGTGCAGAAGAAAAATACCTCAATAGTTAGAGTTAGAAAAAATAAGCAGTCAAAAGTCTTACATATTGGAATACAAAAGTCACTTTTACTAAAGAAAAACACCTCAACATCGGTTAAAAAAAATATTAAAAATTCCGTTAGTATTTTGATTGTTTGTATTGAAAAACGTGATCTGATCGGACTGAAAATTTCAGGAAATACTAAAGTCGCTGCTCTCTATACCATATAAAAAAAATCAGCGAATTCTGAAATGTCACTCCATCGTCGATGTACTATAGTGACTGATTTTCTCAGAAACGTACTCTTAAACAAAATATGATAATTGAATTAAAATGAAAATGAATTTACAACAAAACAAAAATAATTAAAGCAGTTTGTTTCAATGATTTTTGGTAGTTCAAAAAAACTAATGTTTTTTAATTTTGCACAATTGGTTTGAGCAATATCATTTGTAAAATCTTCTGCAACATTTGCCAACTTTTTATAGTCAATATATAGTGTGTTGAGACACTACAAATACTGTATTTTAGACTTTTGATGTGTTTAAGGGTTTTTCCAGCTAAGCAGTGATTAGATCGAAATAAAAAAAAATATATATTCCTGACCAACTTTTGAAGATCTATCAAATCATATAAAATAGAACAAAAAATAAAACTCACTCGAATTTTGCATTTTCGGTAACTTATATATAGTATTTTGCCTTGTATAGGCATTTGATATGCAAGTATTTTTTTCTATTTCATTATCGGATACATAAAAAGTCAGCATCAACTGTATATATATTGATGCAATATTTCTCATACGTTTCGTTTTATTATTTGAATATCAAATCTGAAAAGTAAAACATATTGACAACATCTATGAATTGGTAAATGTGAACATATGAATATATAACGGGTTGCCCAGAATAAATGTCCCTCTCAATGTTTTGGCTATAACTTTTTTTCTTTGTATC